TGAATTTTTTTCCTTTTATTGAAAGTCATGAAAACACTATCGTGGAGTTTTTCTTTTGCTATATGAGCAAATGGGAATGCAAAAAATATATTTGTGGTACTCTCCCATTCACTTTAAAAAAAAATTTTTTTTTATAAGGATTATCAACAAGTATACAAAAATATACAACCCTAGTAACAACAAAATCACAAAACAAAAAGAAATAAAGAAAAAAGAAAAAAAAAACATACAGGGCCAGGGGTAACATAAATTACATTATATAAGGTAAAGGTGCCTCAAAAGGCACTTTTTAACAACCAGGCAAAAGGTCACAGAGCATTCAGTCAACTGTACATTATAGGAAAGAACCAATATTATAAGATGCACACAATGTTATCGATTTTAAGGCTTTAACATTGCTGGAGGTAGATATTGTATCCAAGCAATACTTCAGATCTTTACAAAATATAAGAAATAGGGGCTTTCCAGACAAAAATTTGCACTTATGTATAAAAAATTTAGCTAGCAAAATAAATAGATTCATTAGAAAATATTTGTCCTTTAGATTCTTATCAACATGATAAAAACCAAATAAAACATCCTTGTACAAGAAAGAAAAATTGTCTAAGAGAGAAGCACCTATAAATAAACGGAATTTTTTCCAAAAAATTGTTACATGGGTACATTCCCAAAAAAGATGAGAGACAGACTCATCTACCATTGCACAAAAGGAACAAAGAGGATCCTTCTCTGGAAGCATTTTTTAAAATATAAACATTCACAGGGTAAACTCGATGTAGTAATTTAAAGGATACCTCTTTAACCGTAATTAAATATTTATTGGGTAACGACCACAAGCTCTTCCAAGGAATATCATGAAGATAATTACTCCAGTGAAATACAACAGAAGGAACAGTAGTTATATCATTCTGAAAAAGATGTCAAATCTTTCTATTCCTGAAAGAAGGGCTGAGCGCAAAGCACATTTTTCCTATCACTGTCTCACAGGGATTCGTCAGGGAAATAAAGGAGGGTACAGAATCAACAGAGTTTTTTTAAAAGTGCAATAGCTCCACTGGGAATGGCGTCCATAACTATGGCAAAATCACGTGGGGTGACAGGAATACAATATTTTCTTAAGAACTTACTATTTAAAAGCTGAGAAACCAAAAGAATATTATTTTTAAACCAATCAGGAAAAAATATAGATTTATTTTTATAACAGATATCATGGTTATTCCAGATAAAATAACGGAGGGGACTGAAGTTGTGTTTATATATTAAGTGCCAGGCCAATAGCACCTGCTTGTGGAAGTTTGATAATTTAATAGGTAGTTTAGAGACATTATAATTACATACCAACAAAAAGGGGAGACCACCAACTTTGGAGAAAACATAATTGGGAATAGCATTCCAAAAGGAATCGGGACCATTCAAAAACTGCCTCAACCAATTTATCTTAAATGTATTGTTTAAGGAAGAAAAGTCAAGAAAATTTAGACCCCCATAATCATAGCTGTTTATAACGACAGATTTTTTGATATAGTGTCTCCTGTGTTTCCAAAGGAAGTCAAAAAGCATTCTATCGACCTCAACACAGATAGACTTATCCACATACAAAGAGAGAGCAGGATAGGTTACTCTCGAAATATCCTCAGCTTTGGCAAGGGTACTCTCCCATTCACTGCTATTCAAGTTAACTCAACTATGACGACTTCCGCTGCCGAGAAACCCGGAAATGTGAAAAAGGTCCATATTTCAGATACTTGCAGATGAGGACTAAAATTAAAGTAATATTTTTTGTTTGTAATGCAGATATGTGAATCATGATATTTTCAGACATTATTTAATATCCTAATGTACTGAATATTAATTTACTTATTATTATAATATTACTTTACTGCTAACTGGGTACAAAATAAGACCTGTTTTTTTTTTTTCTTTGATTCCAACAACTAGTTTGGAATTGCTTGCATAACATTCAGAAAAGTTTGATTGTTAACTTTTTTTTTTTTTTTTGCAAGCCTGTTAAAATTGTGTACATATCTAGTTTAAAACCAGTATAAACCCGTTACCAATTAACCTGAATAATGCAGTAAACATTAAATTATGTAATTGTTTTACCTCCATAAAGTAGAATAAGCTCCTTTCTTATAATATCAAAAAATGCTGACTTTATACAGAAATACAAATTTTTTCATTTGTGCTGTTTCGTAGTTTCTCAAATGATTACTATTATTTTAAAATGTGGAAATAGTAATAATAAGCAATGAGAAGGTGTGTTTAACCTTTTGTATGTTTTAAGGCAAAGTGAATGTGTTCGTTGTCTTATTCTGTTGGTATGTGTACAGTAAATAGCTCAGTGTTATGCAGAAGATACAGCGTCCTTCCTCCACCACGTGACGAAGAGGAGAAAGCCATGCTGGACAGTATGTTGAGGGTTGATCATGCAGGAGAGTACGGAGCCAATCGCATCTACGCTGGGCAGATGGCAGTTCTCGGTAGAACTCAGACAGGGCCTCTAATCCAGGTACTGAATGTCATTCTAATGGCTTTAAATGCACATATTCAGTTTAATGCAATAACTGATGTAAATGTACTTTTCACATCTGCAGTATATGTGGGACCAAGAGAAAATGCATTTGGAAAGGTTTAATGAGATCCTGGGTGAGCATCGGGTTCGACCAACATTATTGTTGCCATTATGGAATATCGCTGGATTTGCATTAGGTATGATCTTAACTAGGATTGCTTGTTTACTTGCTTTTGCATAATAACTTTTAATAATTTGCTCCTGCCTCTGTGGTTTCAGGGGCCTGTACTGCTCTTCTGGGTAAGGAAGGGTCCATGGCCTGCACTGTTGCAGTAGAGGACAGCATCTCAGAGCACTACAACAGCCAAATCCGAACACTAATAGAGGCTGACCCAGAGAGATACACAGAATTACTACAGGTAATGTGTGTGTGTTTATATCAGTGCTGTGCACGCACACTTATAGTACAGCATATATAATCATCACTTTATGCAACCATCTATTTTAATAGGCATCTATTCTTTTGAGTAAAATGCAAAAAGGTGAATATCTAAAATGCACACTGAGACATAAACTAAATGTTTTTAATTCAATCAGCTTATTAAAGAATTTCGTGATGATGAAATAGAACATCATGACACGGGATTAGAGCATGATGCAGAGTCGGTGAGTTTGATATGTTGGTTTGCTTATTTGGTTAATAGGAAAAGTATATTACATGTTTTTGCTTCTTTTTTCCTCAAGGTTTTTTTTTTACTTTATTTTTCTCTCTATAGGTACCAGGATATTTGATTTTGAAAACAGTAATACAGGTTGGCTGTAAAGCTGCTATCTATATTTCGCAGCGTATTTAGTGTCATTTTAACAATGCATGACGTGTAAATATTGTTTTGTTTCTGTCAATCTTGTACAGTAAGTAGTTGATTTAAGGAGAGCACATTTTGAAAGAGGTTAGGGTCAGTTTATGTAAACTTTTGACATCTACAACATTTGAAACAATTTTCTAATTGTCTCACAAAGCTGTTTATTTGCTCCAATTAACAGTGTTCACAAAATCATTGTTTTGTTTTATTTTGAGCTGAGAGGACACCATTAACAGATGGGCTATAAAAGAAACCATAGTGGCTTAAAATAAACCATGACATCATCACAGACAAAAGTTCATATATTGATAATAAATTTCAAGTAAAGTGGCTTGAAGATTGAAATGATTGCAAGTAATGAAATATGAAAGGCATATTATCATGCATGTTGTCTGTATGGCGCCACTTGGTGGTCATAATATGTAAGCTGACTTAAAGTGATAGTCTACCCAACAAATATGAAAATTCTTTTCGTTCCCATTGACTTCCATTGTATGGACAAAAAATACAATGGAAGCCAATGGGAACCAAAACTGCTTATCAACATTCATCAAAAATATCTTCTTTTGTGTCCTATGCAAGAAGGTGTACTGTATAGCTCTATGAAAATATGTCTTGCTATGAACGCCAGACCTCCAGAGAACATTTTTCAGAATGGATAAGAAATAGGAGATTAGATGAGAATAGTGGATGACAGTGGAAGAAGTTCACGTTTATTTGTGCAGCGAGTACTTGCAGTTAATATATTTCCTGAAAATAAAATCCATGACCTTGTCATTGCTACCTCTACGTTCCACCACTTGAAGTATAGAAGACAGACATGAATGTAACATCTGACACTTACAAGCAGAGATTCGGTGAACTGAGCAGTTTGTCTTCCCATGAACCAGTTTTCCATCTCACAATGCATCAGATGTTTCAGTGTTCGAATGACATCAGCTTCCATCCATACAACACCCTGAGACAAACTACTGCCAGCTCTAGTTCACATATATAAACAGTGACGTGTGTGTTCATAAATCATAAATCATGTCTCCCAGTTTAGCTCCTGTTGCAAAACACTCATAAATTTCAAAAGGTTTGAGAAGAGGTTAAACAGCAGTGCTCTGATTTTGTTTAGAATATGCATTGTGTAAATGACAGCTGTCAAACCTTTCTGAGATGCCACATTGCTGCATTAGATGTGTTCATTTCTCCAAAGCACAACTATAACATTAATGACATAATGGAACATTAATGGCATAAATACATACATAATGCCTGAAATAAATAATTTATTATTAGATATCATATTTATTTGATATCTTTTTTTACCTGGCAGTTTTTAATGGTTTTATATTTCATTATGGATAATAAAACATAAACAATATTTTTCCCATCACTGCTGTTTTTCCCTCTTTTTTGACATATATCGTTAAGACATAAATGATTAATATTTATTTATGCCCACCTATTCTCTGAATGGCAGCAGAATTTGTGCATCTTAAAGCCCACCTGAGTCAGGGGTTTATTTCTGTTTTAGATTAATAGTGCTGACAGGTTCATTGCATGATGTAAGATGTTTTAAAAAAGCAACTAGTATTGAACTGCATATTTGGCATCCAGATTGTGTGACAAAATTACCATAACATAAAAGCATGAGTGATGAGTCCAGTCAATCTGCAGGTGTTAATACCAGTAAACCATAAAACCGACAACTATATTATCTCACTGTTTAAGAGAACAGAGAGAAAATACCAAAACTTTGAGTCAATGCACAGATGTGTTCACAAAAAACATCATGAAATAGGAAGGATGGTAAAATGTAAGTAAACAATATTATTCCACCGTTTACTTTTCTCCAGAAGGAAGTTTTTTTTTTTTTACTCCCAACACCTGTCTTCCAGATTTACCCATTTGTTCATAGACCATAAATGTATTTTTATGTGCCTGAACTCAACTTTGTTGACCAGATCTTTTTTAAAGCTCAGGATATTAAGCAGCCAATTTGCAGTAATTACCTTTTTCAGTTGCCATTGGTCAGACCTACTTGGGAACTATCAACCTTTATTTCAGCACCCCGAATACTTAACCATAAAGCTTCCTACAGTAATGTCCCACAGTGCCAGAGCCAACAGTAACCACAGAAGGACATCCTGTCTTTACCATTTCATTCTGTATTCATAAATATAACATCACTCTATCGGTTATAATATTTGACTATTAATCTCACTCACTTCACAGTCTGTTAGTGTGTTGAGTTTTTTTTTTAATGCATGATCACTTCATCCAACATGACAGATGGCTACATAATAGTAATTGTAACTCTTTGTGTTTGTTCTGATCTTCTTCTTCTCTACCCTAAAAGTGTATGAGAGTCAGAGACCATAAATCACATAGACCCCAAACTTGACATGATGGTACCAAACGTGCACTGCTACTCAGGCACACAGACACGCATCTGTCTGACATTAAGTGGTGCTATGTTTTACGTCATAACTTTGGAACCTACACTTTTTTTTTTTTGACATTTTGAATTTTCAAGAAAATCTACTCCTGGACTGTTGGTCTGATTTGCATTAAATTTGAAGAAATTATCAAAAGAATTTAGATGTCTAAGCATTGCAAAGACATAAGCTAATGACAACTTGAGGGGCTGCCTATTTAACCATAAATATATATATAATACACTAAATATTAATAAATATTTTTTTAAATAAATTTTATATATATATATATATATATATATATATATATATATATATATATAGTCCAGACTTAAGAAACCTTAATACAATTAGAGGACATTCTGAAGATGCATGACAAGCCATGTCAGATTCTACCCACAGAGTGTGCTACAACAGAAAAACCCTCATAAATCTGCAACCAATGTCCGCACTTCACAAAATGTGGTAGGCCTACATATGGACAATAGTACAGTCTGATGAAACTTGCCAAGGGGGGTGAGATGACTAACTTGTAAGACTAGTCTAAGCATTTTATACAACTGGCCACAGTATAAGGTCACTGTGATTTCTGTAATCACGAACATTATAATTTTTAGTATTTTATATTTTTAGTATTTTAAACAGAAATGTCCATGTCTAAACTGGTAACCAAACTGTGGCATATAGCTTGGCCACCATCCATTAGAATGAGTGCATGATTAGGGGTGTAACATTGGCGTTTAGAACAGGTGAGCATGTTTACGAATGTATAGATGTTTGTCTTTGCATGTCATGACATTGTTTGGGGAGCTTACAGTTGTGTTGGCACCTCCAACAGCTATGTTTCTGATCAAATGGGGCAGCTTATGTGAGGTCCCAGAGGGTGGCGTGACCCAGAGAACATTAATCAATGGCTTTGACAGGAGTGTGGCTTCACCAGCATGACTTCAAGGCCATGCTGCTGCTCAGACTGTCATGAGTTTGTGCCGGCTATTCGAGCTATTTGCCCAAGCATTTGATGAGGCCCCACACGACCCAACTAGTGGTCACTAACAAACCTTTACAGATCCTAATAGTGCTCAGAATTTAGATTTGTTTAGTTAAGAAAATGTGATGTCACGGGTAAAACCAAGAGGTTATAGGATCAAACACCACAGGTGGCAATCCTGTTGACAGTTGACTGTAGCCATTGACTTCGATTGCATTATTTCAATACTATGGAAGTCAGTGGCTACGATCAACTTTATGGTTACCAACATTCTTCAAAATCTTCTTTTGTGTTCATCAGCTGAAAGAAATACATACAGGTTTGGAACAAATTGAGAGTGAGTAAAAGGTGGGTAAAAACAACAACCTTTGATATTCAACATAATATAATGTCTTTTCAGAGACACAAAATTAGTTCAGTGAACCTAAAAAAAATGTCATTGAGTTTTTATGGCATCTGCAAACAGTGATTGACTGTTGTAATCTTTTACAACTTTGAAAGCAATTCAATGACGTCAAGGCTATAATGTGATTTACTCAATGCTGTCATCACACATCATTTATTTCTTCATTTGTCAGCGACACACAAGTAAAAAGTTTTTACATTTGTTAGTACATCATAGGTCAAAGAACAATCCAACATGGTAGGTGTAATATGTTCAGGAATGTATTAATACACACCTGTGATGTTCTTTAGTCAAGAATTAATTTTTTCATCATATTCTGTACATACTGTGAAGGTACAAGAATTCAGACACAGCCATTGACTCTAATACACCTCAGCTGGGTGTAAAGTCACGAGTTAAAACTCAGTGCATGATGAAATTAACTTTCGAGTCACACTCTTGCTGGGGAACCTCAAAATTCAAATCGTGCCACTTGTTTTCTTTGGCTATTACATCATGGAAGCCTGCCAAGACCATCAATCCCGTTGACTGCTTACAGAAGGTTAACATGTCACCTACCATAACGCTAGCTTCAGCACTCGTCCTTTTAGTGGGTGTCTCACACTTTGCACCAATCCAGCAAAGCCTGCGATGTCAGTGCTGATGACAAACAGCCATAACTACACAGCCGTTCTCAGCAAAAATCATCAATCGTCTTGGGTCTTACATGGTGAGTGTGCAAGTCACCTGTACCTTTGCATATATATTTCTCTCTCATAAAATGCACTTGAGCACTGCTGACAGTCGAAACTATCTAAGCTTTTCTAATGATCTCATTCCTTCCATGGTTCAATTCAACCTACAGCTCCAGATGAACTTGGATCTACATGCACTGAACAAGCCGAACAACTGCCTGGCGTGTAAATTGTGGATGTTTAAGTCACAAGCATTCAGCTTAGATGATTAGATGATATGATCCCTTAAGATCACGACCTTTACACATTACTGTGCTCTGAAAATCACATCTACAGTTCTCGGAGGTGCGGCATGCTTTGATGCCTGTCAGCTGAGAAATGCACTCGCCTGCCTTCAAGTGCAGTGATGACACACACATGGACACAGACAAAGTGCTCTGACCACTCGAGCGCTCAGTGTCAGGAACTGACCTTGGCTGTACATTTGAAAAACACATTCCAAACAAAACCGAGTCCTAGTTCTCTGCTGGCCACTCGATTATCACTGTTATACAAGCTGTACACTCACTACTTTACATTGTAGCAAAGTGTAATTTCTTCAGTGTTGTCACATGAAAAGATATAATAAAATATTTACAAAAATGTGAGGGGTGTACTCACTTCTGTGAGATACTGTATATGGGATTGGTTTCCTTTTTAACAAAAATTAGACATTATTCAGGCATCTGCTCCTCTTCGTGTCACTTCTGGTCAGAGCAGCGGAGTTGCTTCAGGTTCAGACCCACAGACAATGTCTGAATATCTACACCATCTTGCCAGCTTC